AGCTCAAACCCTAGGACTGACATCAAAAGAGAGATGGGAGGGACTAGTGGCTTACTCTTACAGTCTCAGCAGTAGGGAGGCTAAGGCAGGAAGATTGAGAGTTGGAGGCTAAACTGAGCTACACAGTCCCAGTTTCAAGACAGAGAGACAGACAGAAAAGAAGTGGGTATTTCTTTTTCTTTTAGCATGATCAGGAAAGGCTTGTTTGAAGAGGAGACATTCAAGCTGAGAGCTGAGTAACAAGGGGCTAGTCTTGGGAAGACAGTAGGGGACCGTCCACACTGAAGAAGAGTTGGTGCTAGCACGCTGAGGTAGGACTGAGCCTGAAGGGCTTCAGGAACAGGAAGGAAATGTGGCTGCAGTGCTGTGAGCAAAGGGAATAAGCATGAAAGCAAGGAGGAAACTCTGGGAGGATTTTTACTTTTTTTTAAAAGGAAGTCTGGCTATTGCCTGGGAATGGGTTGTAGGGGAAACAGAGAGACCAGGTAGGAGGCTGCCGTAGTTGTCAGGGCAAGAGTTGATAGAGGTTTGGACTTTTGAGTGTGGCAAAGATGACATCAAACATTTATTGAGTACTTACATGTCTACAGCAGTCTGAGCACTTTACTTCTATTAACCAGGACAAACATGGCTCTGCCAATTACTAATAAGTTAGCCTCAAAGACCTTCTAACTCATTTATAATATAGGGATAATAACAGAACTGCCTACAGAGTGTAACTAGATGATGTAACTTTGCACTTGTATGTCCAGAATATACTACATAGCAATCTAGTCTAATCTACATTAGACTAGAAAAATAGTAGCTGTTATTGTTGTTCATTCTGTATGCACTTAAAATTTCCCCTAATACTGGGTGCTGGTTGCTCATGCTTATAATTCTAGCTATGCAGGAGGCTGAGATCTGACGATTGTGGTTCAGGAAAGTCTGTGAGACTTTTTTTTTTTCTTCTTGGTCCTGGAGCTTGAACTCTGGGCCTGGGCACTGTCCCTCAACTCTTCAGCTCAAGGTGAGCCCTCTACCACTTAAGCCAGAGCGCCACTTCTGCTTTTCTGGTGGTTCATTGGAGAGTCTTGAGGACTTTCCTGCCCTGGTGGGCTTTGAATCATGATTGTCAGATCTCAGCCTCCTGTGTAGCTAGGATTATAGGTGTGAGCCACTGGCGCCTGGCTGTGAGACTCTGATCTCCAATTAATCACCTCAAAAACCTAAAGTAGAGCTGTAGCCCAAATGGTAGAGTGCTAGGGGGAAAAATGCTAGGGGAGAGAGCCCAGACTCTTGAGTTCAAGCCTTAGGATTTGGACACATATTTTTTAAAAAAATCTACTACACTTTTATTCTCACTCCTTAACCACAAGCAAAACATGAGCAGAGACACAAAATTTCTTCTCCCCTGCCTCCAGCTCTGGTTGCTAACCATTAGCCTGCTTTAGTATCCCCAGAGAGTTCAGGGAATTAGTTCTTCTAGGGTAGGGGACCTCAGAAGAGGTGTGATGACACCAACCTCTCCACAGGCTCATGTGTTTGACTTGGCCATCAACAAGTATGAAGCCATCTGCAACCAGCCCGTGGTGGCCAAAAAGAAGAATAAGATCACCCATGTGAAGTTCAACCCCATCTACCCTATCATCATTGTGGGTGATGACCGTGGGCATATCACCTGCCTCAAACTCTCACCTAACTTGCGCAAGATGCCAAAGGTATGGGCTCTGCCACTAGAGAGAAGGGAGCTGGTGGGGATGAGAAAAGGGGGAGGAGCCACAGGTTTCTGGCTTAGAGTATCCAAGATAAGGATGATATCACTGGCAGAATAAAGAGGCTAAGAGGAGAAGCAGGTTTGTGAGGAAACAGATCAATTGACATGCTGCATCTCCCTTAATTGTGGGGCCAGTGTGGAGGTACCCAGTCAGAAAGTAGGCCTCATCCTGGGTGTGTGTGTGTGTGTGTGTGTGTGTGTGTGTGTGTGTGTGTGTGTGTGTGTGTGTGTGCATCATTATCTTTGGGAGTGGAAGATGCTATGGGCATTACAGGTCACCCAGGTAGGAGAATGGAGGCTTAGCTAAGACTTCATTGCTGGGCTTACATGGTTTCAGCTTCAGTGGTCCCTGGGTTGGGAGCTTCAGGTCTACACAGGGAAGGAAAGAAATGAGCTGTGAAAAGAGAACTAGGTCAGCAGCTATGCAGTCCTCCTTTTGAACTCTAGTTTTTGTGGTCTCTGACAGGTATGAGACCCTGCCCAGAGCCCAAGTGTTTCAAATAGACCACAGACATATCCATGATCTCAAAGTCTAGCCTTGAGTCCAAATTCAGACTTAAGAATCCAGACTTCAGGGCTGGGAATGTGTCTTAGTGGTAGAGTGTTTGCCTAGCAAGCATGAAGCCCTGGGTTTGATTCCTCAGCACCACATAAACAGAAAAAGCCAGAAGTAGCGCTGTGGCTCAAGTGGTAGAGTGCTAGCCTTGAGCTAAAGAAACTCAGGGACAGTACCCAGGCTCTGAGTTCAAGCCCCAGGACTGGAAAAAAAAAAAATAGAATCCAGACTTCACACCAAAAGACCCAGCATCCAACTTAAAAAATTTACAGCCTAGAAGCAAGAGGTGAGTCCTGCCCATTTGTATAGGAAATGGCGCTTTGCTTTCTGCCAGGTTCCTGGCCAGGGTCAGGGTCGGGCCAAGCTGCCCTGATGACTACCTCCTGTTTGCAATTTGAGGCATTTACTGCAATTTGAGGCAGGAGCAGAGGCCTGTCTCAGCTACTGACTTCTCCCCACTGTGCCTCCACCCAGACAGCGACCATGCCCCATTGCTCCGGTGCTGCCTTGGTCTATTCCCCACCAGGACCAGGAGTATGGCCGGGCTGTAATTGTAGCCAGCTGGAGGAGGGGGTAGACTTGGCTATAAATACTCAAAAGGCTGTTAAGCGCCTGCAGCTGTGGCCCAGAGGCTGTGGTGGGCTTTAGGGGGTGGGGGAGCAGGGCGTGGTCTGAATCTCCTTGCAGAGCCCAGCTAGTTGGCCTCAGGAGGGGGGAAGGCGGCAGCAGTTTGTGGAACAGATAAAATCTGTTCTTAATTTAATGAAAGAGGAGCTGGCTTAAGCTGGCAGAGCTGGACGACCCTCTGGGAGGATGGTCACTTGTGGGGACAGAAACAGCCATGACACCAAGAGGGTGGTAGAAATGGATGGGAGCCCTACACACCCTGATCTGGGGAGGCAGGAATCTCCCACAGTTCTAACACCAAGGACCATTCAAAGCTGGGACTTGAGTATCTCTGAGGACCTGAGTAAGGGACAGTCGGGGGGCTTGTACTTGAGTAGATTAGTAGTTCCTGTGAAATTTCTTTCTCTGTCAGTAACCCCATGATTTGTATGAAAGGAAGTCCTGTGGACATCCCTACAGACCTTCCTCTGTAAGCTGCAGACTCCCTGCTTTTCCCATAAGGACTGACTTCCCTGCGTGGGGAGCTTCAGAAGTTAAAGGACTGTCTTAACCTAACCATTATGTACATGGGAAATTGAAGCTTGGAAAGACCAAGGAATTTACCTAAAGTCATATGGGGAATTAATGACAGCTAGAACTAAAAACCAGGTCCCTTAAATCCCAGGGGATAGGGTTAAGGCTAAGAAGAGAAACTGAACAGTCAGGAGGGAATATGGGAAGTGAGAAAAAGATCTTGTCCTCTGCACTGGGCTTCAATGGCCTGCAAGGGCCGATCTGGGAGTGGTGCTGGGGGTCAAGGCAAGAGGAAATCTGAGCTCTGCATGGTGTTAGCAACCTGGATGGGGCCAGAAAGGGGCCTACTGCCCCTGCAGGCTCCCCCTACCTTGCAGCCATGACCAGACCCGGGCATGACTGCAGCAGGTGCCAGTGAGCAGTGGGCACAGTTGGTTAAGGGTGTAGGAGTCCAGGATCAGAGGGAAAGCACAAAATGGCTGCTGCCCAGCCTGTTCCAGCATAGCCGACATCCCAACGGGACAGTAGAGAGTGACACAAACCAACTCCTTTTTTTTTCAGGGCCCAACTTACCAGTGGAAGCATTAGAGTACTTTGCAGGTGGGGGGCAGGGTAAAGGCCACATCTTCTCTTCTGAGGGATAGTCCCAGCCATCGATACCTAGAATCACATAGGTATCCCATCCACCTTCATGCACAGGAGACACTTTTCCCACCATAGCAAGTCTGGTTTGAACCCCCAACCTGACCTGAACATATTAGGTAAGAGAGCACTAGGTGAGGGCACCTATGATCTCTCTCCCTCCTCGAGCACATACCTATTAGCTTCTATTGGTAGAAGGAAGTCCCAACAACCAGATCCTGTCCCTCCCCAGAGCCTCTGCTCTTCCTGCCTAAAAACTTAGTCCTTGGAAGATCATGGTTTCTACTCCCACTCCTGGAAGCATCAAGACCCCATATTTAGCTGAGGTTCACAGCAAAAGCTGATGCTTTCTTGTAGTCCCCTATCCAGACCCTTGAGTCACCTAACCTGAGAAAGTGAAGGATTGGTGAAGGAGGGAGAGGGAGGTGGCAAGGATCCAGTATTTATTGAGCAGGGCAGGGCAGGGCACAACTGGGGCAGGCTAGGCAAAGAGTCAATGTGGGTACCCAGAGAAGCAGGCTATCCCTTACATTTTTCTCCAACCTGTATTTCCCCTCTCCCAGGAAAAGAAGGGGCAGGAAGTTCAGAAGGGCCCAGCTGTGGAGATCGCAAAACTGGACAAACTACTGAACCTGGTGAGGGAAGTGAAAACCAAGATCTGATGGTCTGGTCTCAGTCTCTGCCCATTTATTGAACTAATATATTCCAGGTCCTGGGCTGGGTACCAGATGCCTGCTTCCAACTTGTGATCCTACCCCTGCATCTGCCCTTCTCCTGAAGGTTCTGACACCTTTCTCCCAAACCTGACCCTCAACCACCATTACTCCCTTTTGACTTGCACAAATAAACCTGTGTTTAAAAGCTCACCTCCTATCTTTAATTTTGCTACTGTGGGGCCCTCAGGAAGGAGAAAAAATCTCAGGATAGAGCCGTAGTTCCATTTATTATCCAGCAAACAGTGGGAGGACCAAAGGAGGGGCCCAGCCTGGACACCCTCCCATTATTGCCATGGGTTCCAGTTTGCTTCCCCAACCTAGAGGGCCCAGAGGCACTGAGCTTAGGGAAAGGGTAAACCCAGCCCTTGGACCTTGGGATGGAGCAGAGTCCAGATGGCCCTGGCCCTAGCACCAACGCCTGAACCCCCACTCTGGGCCTATCTATCTAGGACCACCTATCTCCTGAAGCCAGGCTGGGTCCAGCTCCAAGCAGGTTGGACTCAAGAGTTCTGGACCCCAGGCTGGCTGAACTCTGGAGTCCTAATTCCAGGCTCTGAATGGGGTAGATTCACGTCCCAGGCTCCAGGGTAGACCAAGGGACCTTCAGGGTTGCAGCAAGTAGCTGCCTTCATGGCTAGGTTTCTGGGGTGGTGGTGCCTTCTCAGGACAGGGGCCAGGGCTGGAGTTAGGACTAGAATCAGACAGAGAATCGGCGTCGGCAGAGCGAGAATGGCAGGCCCAGCAGAGAATGACCCAAAGCAGCAGCAGCAAGAAGCCTACGAGGCCGTTGCAGACGATGGCAATAAGAGCCCCCTGGGAGATGGCTGCCCCCATGACGGGCAGCACCCTCAGACCAGTGCAGATAGCAGAGTTGCTTCAATGACAAGGCCCATGCCGAGACGAAACTCCGGGAGGGCCAGCTTTCCAAGGAGGCTGTTCTGTCCGTGCAGGCAATGATTCCTAGGCAGTGGAGATGCCCAACTGCAGTCCTGAGCCTGGGGGGTACAGAGCAAAGGAGAGGATGGTGAGGGAGGAATGGGTAAGACTGAGTGGAAAAGCTCCCCTCTCACATTGTTCGCTTTCCTGGCAAAGGACCTTGGGTTCCAGCATACTTAAATATCCCACAAAGCCAACACCCTCATCCTAAGGCCTAGCTTTGGGCACTTGAATGTGGGTGTAGCCAGGATAGGGATGGTGGAGTGGGCAGCCAGCCTCTGCTTTGCTTTTGCAGTGGTGGGACTGAACCTAGGGCCTTGAGCATTCTAGGCAAACACTCTACCACTGTACTACACCCCCAATCCAGGCAGATTCCTCTATCTCATTCTCCTGGTGGGCACAGCCTAGCCCTGCCTACTCAGCTTCCATCCACAAAGGCACCCTTTTGGTGAGTGGACTGAGGAAGTCCAAGACCCAGCCAGGAAGGGAATTGTGACCAGCTTTGGTATGGCCAGGTTACCTCCTCTCTCTCAGGATTGCTGCCAGCCAAGCCCCAGAGACCTGCAGAGGCGCCAGCTTGCACAGAGGGAACTTTGTGGAGGCCCTGGCAGGCATGTGTGGGTTTGGTGTGTCCAAGGCTATGTCCCTAGGTGCGCCTCTCCCTGGGACTGTTCCTCTGGGTCAGGTATGTGTGTATGTCTCCCTGTTCTCTTGCTGGATGTGTGCCTCTGCTTCTGCATTGCCACCTCTATGATTGTGTGTGGCTGCCTGTCGCTCTGGGTAGCTCTAATTTATATTTGTGTGCGTCCCCATCTCTGAGTGTCTTCGTTTCTCTTCCAGTCTGCCCATGTTATCTTTCATCAGTTCTCTTCCTGGCTGTGCGTCCCTCTGTCCTCGTGGACGTGTCTCTCTTTTCCGTGGGGTCCGTCTCCGTGGTTGTGTGTCTCCCGTGTGTCCCTGCCTTTGTGTCTGTCTGCTCTCCCCCTCTGGGCTGTGTGTCTAGTCTCAATGTGGGTCTTTGTGTCTTTATCTCCACCTCGGGTCTCTAAGTCTCGATCCCCGTGCCCGTGGGGGGAAGACCTCCCCCCTCCCCGCGCCCGCGCGCCCCCTTACCTGAGTTGAGCCCGGTGCGCTCCCGCGGGAAGGTCCGGGGCAGCGGGATGCTCGGCGCCGGCTGAGGCTCGGGAGCCTGCGGGCGGGGGGCGGCGGGAGGCGGGCAGGGGCGACGTCCACTCCCCCAGCCCTCCCCCTCCGCCGTGCAGCCTCCGCCGGCCGCTCCCGCCACAGCGCGACCGGAGCGGCCTCTGCCGCGGGCGGTCTGCGGCGAGCCGGCACCTCCTCCCCCTGGGGCGGCGCCTCCCCCGCGGCCGGGGCTGCTCGCTCGCTCCCTCGCTCGCTCGGCGGCGCTCGGGCGGCGGCGGCGGGAGCGGCGCGGGGTTCGGCTGGGCTCGGCTACGTTCGGCTGCGTTCGGCTGAGCTCGGGACGGCGGGCGGTCGTCGGCGGAGCTCGGTCAAGCTCGGCCCGCCGCAAAAACACGGACGAGCCCCGCCTCCGGGTGGCCGGCGCCTTCGGCCCGCCGGGGGCGGAGCCATCGCCGCACCGCTGCCGCGCTTCCATTGGCTGGCCTCTCCCAGCTCGCGCGCCATTGGCCCAGCGCTGGGGTGGGACGGGACCGCCCCGGTGCCGCCGGACAGGAGGAGGGCTGAACCCGCTACTTTGTGTACATTCATCCAGCGGAGGCTGTCACGGGCAGGGCGAAGCCCGCTATTTTGGTTTTTTCTTTTCTTTCTTGTCTTTGCGCCTTCCACGCCTGAGATAGCTATATACCCATCGGTGCAAGGCCAAGGTCACTGCGCGCGCGCATACACACACACACACACACACACACGTGAAATCGCCCTTCCATGTCAGGGAGAGGTCTGTCACCGTCATTTGGAAGAAGGCTTTGCGTCTCCAAGGTGGAGACTCTCAGCTAGGAAGCCACTGCCGTCTCGCGCATCCCACTCTCACCTAGGTATGGACCCTTCGCCCCCCAGTCGAGAGGGTTTGCAGTTGGTTCCCCATTCCATGGCCCTAGAAGGTGGTGTGAGGATCTTCAGTGATAAAAGTTCTCCGGTTGCATTTTACTGAGCTCCTACCCAGGGTTGATGGCAAACTTGTGCTTTTCTGTGGTTGGGGAACCTGAGACAGAGGACGGGGTGCCCTGAAGAATGGTTCAGCTCTGGCTGGAATAGATACAAGCCTGGTGGAGGTTCTGATTCTCCATTCTAGAAACCTTCCTAGGCGGAATATAGCTTGGACAGGAGCCGTCAGATAGGGAGATATGCCAGTGAGGTCTTTTCTTCTGCCTGCCTCCCTTCCTTGCCCCAACACTCCCCCCCACCTCTTCTTTCCCTCCCCCAACCCCATGAATCTAACCTAAGTGACTAGAGCCTTGCATCTGCACACACCCATTATACTCCTAGTCCTAGTGATTCTTTTTTTTGAGGGGGGGGTTAGTAGTGGGGCTTGAACTCTGGGCCTGGGTGCTGTCCTCAGCTCCTTGAGCCACAGCACCACTTCCTGTTTTCTGGTAGTTTATTGGAGATTAGTCTCACGACTTTCCTGCCGGGGTTGGCTTTGAACCATGATCCTCAGATCTCAGCCTCCTAGCTAGGATTACAGGCGCCAGCCACTGGCCCCCTGCTCCAAGTGAGTCTTAAATGTTCTGCTTTGGGCTCTCTTATCTCACATGTCCTCCATGAAGCGTCACATCCTTGGAGCTATATCATTAAGACTTGTAGTCTTATCCAGACACTGGTGGCTCACTCCTGTATGGAGGCTGAGATCTGAGGCTTGCGGTTCAAAGCAGGAAAATCTGTGAGACTCTATCACCAATAAACCACCAGAAAGCCTGAAGTGGCGCTGTTGCTCAAGTGGTAGGGTGCTAGCCTTGAGCTGGAGTTGAGGGCAGTGCCCAGGCCCAGACTTCAAGCCCCACAACCGACAGAAAAAAAAAAAAAAAAAAAGACTTCTAGTCTTAAACTTCTCTTTTTACTTGACTTATATAGCTAAATGTCTACTGGCATCAAGGTAGTGTTGATAACTGGTTCTGCCACTAATTTGGCAACCTTGGACAAATGACTCTCAGCTTTAGCTTCTTCATTTGTAAGATGATTGATTACATTAGGAGGTTATTTTTCCCTAATTAATTTATACCAGACAAATCACATCTCAGCAAATACATGATATAACCCCAAGGACCAAGTGGCTAAGGGCCTTTTCCTTCCCATGCCGTAAGATCTCTAGAAATCTAGATTCTATATTGAAAAAGAGAAATCAAAGGATAAAATAATCTGAAAGACTGAGTCATCCAAAGCTACAGAGTTGGAGACTGTCTAAAATAAACTTTGGGCCCTGTGGAGTTTACCAGAATGGATTAATTTTAGTTTTCCCCTTGATACCCAGCAGGGTGAAAGGCATTGTGAGAAAGATCAGATCTGTTATAGGAAACAGGAGGCATATCACCACACATCTGAGTATAATGTGAGTGAATTTTGTGACCTAGCTGTAGGAGTTTGTATTTTATCTGGGGACAGTGGGGAGCCACTGAAGGATTTGGAGCAGAGGAATAACATGATCATATCCAGAAACTGGAAGGATGATTTGAGGCTGCTGATATAAAGGGTAAGGCAATTTGATAGGGAAAGCCAGGGGTAATAATGAGGGGCTAAAATGATTGTAACAAACAGGAGAGAATAGACACTGAAGATATTTAGGAGCTTCAGCTTCAAAACATGGAAACTTAAGTGGATGGAGGTGATCAGAGGGAGGGAAAAGTATGGGATAACTCTCCAGGTAGTGATTGGAGACACTATGATGTGATATCCTGCCATAGAGCATACATGAGAGGGGTGATTCTCAGCAAGACTTGGAAGGGGAATGATGAATTCAGTTTTGGAAATGATCTATCTGAGGTACCAGTATAACACCCAAGTAGACGTGTTCAGTGGGCAGTTGGATAAACAGGTCTGGAGTTCAGAAGGGAGGGCCAGGCTAAAGATAACATTTTTTTTTCTGTTTTCAGCAACAGAGTAGTAGTTAAGCCAGAAAACTGCATGAGCTCACCCAGGGAGAGTACAAAGTGGTTTAAGAAAAAAAGATACATTTAGAATTAGATATTGAAGCCTAAAGACAGGGCTGCCTGGATTGAAGAACAACCAAGAGACTGAAAAGCCATGAAGTTCTCTCCTCACGGGTATGTTCCCTCCTTCCTTTCCCCTTTCCTCTTTCCCCAAACTCCTGTCATACACACACACACCACCCCGACCCCCCCCACTCCCCCCACCCCCTTCCAACTCTTTTCAATGCTCTCCTGGTCCCTATGGTTAAAAAATTCCAAACAATTCCAAATATTAAGACCTTAAGGTCTAGGTATCCAAAGACAAATGTGATGGCTACTAATGATGCTGCTACTCTTTAGAGGCAGTTTGCAAATTCCTTAGAAAGTACTCTGTTCGCTCAATCTAGATGCTTAACTTTGGGACCATCAACAGTGGGCAAAGAGACTGTGTTCACACCTGTAAACCTAATTAACTAGGCTGAGATCTGAGGATATTGGCTCAAAGTCAGGTGAGGCAGGAAAGTTTGTGACACTTTTATCTCCCATTAACCACCAAAAAGCCAGAATTGGAAGCTAAATGGAAGCCAGGCCCTGAGTTCAAGCCCCCAGAACTCCCCCTCACCCACACACATAACACAGTGACCAAAGGATGAGGGTCAAATTGATTAACATGATTCATAGGATAACCCTACGAATAGTGGGGATAGGGTAGTTTCCTGGAGAAAAGAGATCATAAATAAACAAAATAGAATATTTACTACAGTCTATACATCATTTTCTATGTATATGATTCCAAAAATACCCTCACCTTCTGTTGTAATTTGAATGTGAAATGTCTTTCAAGGGTCCATGTGTTAAAAACAAAACAAAACTTGGTCACCACTTGGTATTTATAGGAGGTGGCAGAAACATTAAAAAAGGTGGGGCTTGTAGGAGACTTTAGGTCATTTCAGGTATGCCCTGTAGGGGAATTTTGAAACTCTGGTCTCTTCCTCTTTTTTTTCTTCTCCCAACTGTGAAATGAACAGTTTTGCTGTACCATACACTGCCTGCTCTGATAAGTGCTGTCGCAACCTAGGCCCAAAAGCAACTATGACAACCAATCTGAAACCTCCAAACCTGGGAACCAAAATAAACCTTTACCTTTAAGTTGATTATGCCAAGTGTTCATTACATTAATGGGATGCTAACTAACACATCTACTTAATCCAACCATCTCATTATACATACACTAATAAATTTACCTTCTTTTTAATGAAGACCAACTCAGTGACACATTCCTACTTTCTTCAGCTGATGTTCTTGAAGGTTATATCAGAGGATTATCATTTTTCAAATGTAGGTTGTCTGACCAATGTCCCATTGTACTCTAGTTAGCTCTCCATGAAGTATGAATATGACTTCTAATAATCTCACCACCTTTTAACTGCTTTAAGGCTACTTTTAAACTTCCCGCCCCCACAAGAAAATGTTCTAGTATTTAGGAATGGAAGAAATAAATGAAATAAAAAGGAAGCAATGTGTACGAATCCACAGCACTATATATAATAATCACGATAATGGGAGTAGAAAGCCTCACGGCATCTGTTTGTTGATTTACTTCTTTGAAGGGCTGTGAAGTTTCTCAGTCAGCCAATCTGGTTACCTCCAGTTTTTCCCACAATGATAATAAGATCCTGGAGTGTTCTGAGAGGGTGGTTGCAGAGGATTTCCTGTTGGACACTGTTCTAATTAGCACCGTACTTTCTAGTGTTAGAGATTATCCTTGGATAGAACAAGCATAGATCTCCACATTTATGAGGACTGGGTGTGGATGAGGCTCTCATTCCAAGATGATTCTTTTTTTTTTCTTTTTCTTTTTTGTGCTAGTCCTGACACTTGAACTCTGGGTCTGAGTGCTGTCCCTGAGCTTTTTTTGCTCAAGGTTAGTGCTCTTTGAGCCAAAGTTTCACTCTGGTTTTCTGGTGGTTAATTGGAGGTAAGAGTCTCATGGAATTCCTGCCCTGCCTGGCTTTGAACTGCAATCCTCAGATCTCAGCCTCCTCACTAGCTAGGATTACAGGTTTGAGTCACTGGCACCCAGCAGAACATAGATTCTTTTTTTTTCTTTTTTTCCTTTGTTTGTTATGG